CTTTCAGGAAAGCCATTTGGCATTGATACTCTTTGCGTTAATATCAAGCAGCTAAAAAAAGCTTACGATAAAATAAATGAAAATTTCAGTTTTTTGACACATTTAAGTGAGCTAACAGACAATGAAGTTGAAAACAAATGCTTAAAACTTACCAAAAATATGATCTTGATTTAAGTAGGAAATCATTAGAATCGGAATGCATTCAATGTAAATTTTATTTAGAGGATTTCGGCAAAAAAGAAAATGTAATAATGACGGGTATTTATACTTGTATCAAGAAATATAATTTACTTTCAACGTTTCCAAATTTATAAATTTGACTACGAATATTTTTATGTGTGATGGTTACGAATAGTAGTGGTGAAAGATCTCTTTCAGCCTTGAAATATTTGAAAAACGAACATAGAAGTACAATGCTTGACGAAAGATTAAATAATCTCGCTATAATGTTTATTGAATCGGAAATTTTGAATAAAATTGATTTCGAAGATGTGATCTCTGATTTTATACTAAAAAAATCTCGAAAAAAATTGTAATATTTTGTTCTTTAATTTTAAATGAAAGATTATTACTTTAACTTTTACATACAATTTGAAACATAACAAAATTAAAAATAATCATTCAAACAAACCTTTAATAATTTTTTTAGAACTCTAAAAAAAAAAAATTCTTTAAAGTTCTTTCTTCTTGGGTGATGAGGATAAGGCCCCTTGAAAGGGTGGGGCCCCTAAGCCCAAGCTTCGTCGGCTTCTGCCTAAAGACGGCACTGGAGCTGTGGAAACCATGATCCGAGGACCCCCCAAACTGCTGCTGTTACTTGATGAACCGCCACATGCGCTGCTTGAGTTTGTGGAATCTTGTGCAGGTGTGCAATTGATAGCAGAGATTAGCAGGGAGATTGCTGACTGCCGTGCTACGGAGTGTGCCCAATTTTTTCCAGTGGTTCGAGCGCCCCACCGCGGCCAAGCAGCCAAACCAGGCGCACATTTTTTTTTTTATGTTTCGTAAAAAAAATATATNGGACCTATCCGCCTTCTTGAACTTTTAGTGCTTATGACGTTGGAGGGCATAATAATAGTTATGTTTTAAAATTAGATAATCAAAGCTCTAGATTTAAAAGATTTTTGGTAAATGAACAAGCTCGATGCGCAGAATTTTTTTGCTTTTTTTCAAATAGTCATGTGGTACTCCAGGGATTAAGAGGTTCAAGACCTATCGACACGTAGATGGAAAAATAAGCATTCTGATTCGCACTGACCCATCGCGCTGAAAGCGTGAGATTTTATCTAGTTTCTAGATGTAGCTGGTTATTTCTCAGGCGATAAAGCTTCGAATGGATTAAATACTGATCCTTTTTTAGTAAAATCTTACACGTTAGAGAGGTGTGCCCCATAAACGCACTTGTCTTGCTTAATCGTAATTTCATTTATTATTTTTTATTTTTTTTATTTTCATAAATCAGCCTAAAAAGTTTGATGAAATAAAAAAATTTGATCAAGTAAATGCGTAAAATGAGCTTCTTCTACAGTATACAAAAAATTAAAATTTGATCTCCAAGTAGTTCAACGTTAAAAGATCAAGAGTTTTACTGAGTATTCGAGCTCAACGCAATAGACCCTCTCACATTCTGGTTTTTTTTATCAGACGATGCATGTTCAAAAAAATTTGAATTGAATTGTTTCTCTGTGAAATTTACTGAGAAAAAAATATGCACTGAATAAGCGTAGTGGACGTGTGTAATCATTTCTCAAAAATCAGATCTCCGGTTAAAATACTTCGGCCTCGCTAGTTTGAATTTTGCGCTGGTACGGTAACTGATTAAATCTCTGCAGTCGGTACCCTTGTCTCCTGGCGTACCTACCTATTACCACCTTCTTCGTAAAAGAGTTTAGCTATGCGTAGTCGCCCCTCCACAATGCTTAGGCCCCCCTCCTGAGGCTTAGTGCTCTGTGATTGGAGGAATTGATTGATTATTAAATCAACAATATTTTGTTAATTATCCATCGAATCCAAATTTTGTAAAAAGCTTTTCGAGAGCTTTTGATGAGCTTTATCTCGTGGTATAGTTTTCCGGGCTCAAAATCTGAACGCCCTGTATACTATACAAGCAAACCTGTACACAATTTTAATGAAAGTGGCGGCTGGTTTAAATTCTTAGTCTCTTTAGGGCCTTAGCCTTAGGGCTCGGGCACATGGAACCACGTTAAACGTAAAGCATTTCGCATATCGCGTAAAAGTAACGAAGGTTAGGTATACGCCACTTTGTGGTCACATTGGTTAGAAAAGGCGTAAAAGCCTCGCATATCGCGTAAGTTTGAAGTAGAAGGGAGTTGACCAATCTGCTGTCTTGTCAACAAAAAAAGCTTTTGAAGTTCTCACCGCAAGTGAATTCTAACTTGCATACATGTCAAAAAAAAAGTTTTGAAGTATATACTTCTTTTTTTCTTTTTATTTGAGAGCCGTTAATATATTTCATACAGTTTAATCATTACACTCCTCACTTTTTCTTTGCGATATTGGGTCATTGCATAGGTCGTATCGACTTATTTCCACAATTTGCCTAAAGTTTTTACGATTTATTTTTCATCCATGTCAGGCAAATTCGATTAATTATACAATTGATACTGTAAATGTTGTTGTTAACACTAGCTGCTGACTGTATTTACAGGTTGCATACTTTATTTACGCTATACACGAAAAAATTTGTCATCGCGCACATTGGTACAAAAATACGGGTGTAACTTTATTTTAGCCATGAGTGCGAGCGAGACAGCATGTGCAAAGCCAACGAAATACTTGCTGTGATTGGTTTAAAAACACTTACGCGCGTATTTTTTACTCCCGTGTGCGCGATGACAAATTTTTTCGCGTAAGCGTATACCTTACCTAACTTTCCCTGATCCTACAATTTTACGCGATACGCTTTACGCGGTTCCGTGTGCCCGAGCCCTTAGCTCTTGGTTTATTTTGCTTATGCTATCGGCTTTCACTGTGAATAGCTCCTTATGACCACTTGTTTTGTTTTATACACTTCAGACAGTTAATGTTGAAGTCATTTTTTCGAATAACATAATGAATAAATTAAAAAAAAAAGGAATTATTTATATATCATCAATACCCAAATACATGAATGTTAACAAAGTAAGGGAATTGTTTTCTTCTTATGGGAAAATTGAACGGGTTTACTTACAGTTAAAAAGTAACATTTCCAACCCTACTTACAACAAAACTGTTGAGCATTAGTGCAGATTAATTCAGACACAATTTTTTTTCTCAATTTTAGACCAGGACACTGTTCAGTCCAAGAAACGGAGACGAAAGAATGATAAATATTTTTCCGAAGGTTGGGTGGAATTTCATAGTAAAAAAGTAGCTAAAAACGTTGCTACTGTTTTAAATAATACTCACATCTCAACCAAAAAGAGAAGTAAATTTTATGATGCTCTTTGGAATATCAAATATTTATCGAGGTAAATATAAGTATTTTAACAAATACTAAATTTTCTACAGTTTTTGTGTAGAGCCATTAAGATCTTAATTTATATCTTGTGGAACTTTACAATACTTCCTTGTTGAACCGTGTATAAGACTACTTTACTACAAAATTATCAGTAAATTATTTGCTACAATTAGTAAAAACCTAGGAATAAAATTTTTTATTAATGCCTTTTATAATTTATTGTTGCAATAAAATAGATTCAAATGGATTCATCTCAGTGAACGGTTAGCTTATGAGAAAGCAGTTCATAAGCAAAGATTAAGAACAGAAATTGTACAAGCTAAAAAAGAAGTTAACTTCTTTTCCTACAATGTTGATGAAATACGGAAATCAACTTTGAAAAATGGAGTCAAGTCTTCGTTTTCGTTACCAGAAATTAAACAGAGACAATCAATATTGGACGTTACCCAAGAAAAAAAGCAAATCGACAGCAATAACAGTTATATTGATTTATTTGTATAATTCGCTATCAAAATGTACTATAATCTGTCCATTTTTATAATAGTAGTAAATGTAGACTTTTATAATTAAATTTTTTGGATAATTTTACATGAACCCTGGCATAAAAAACTATTTTTTCTTTGCGATAAAGGTACAAAATGCGAGGAGAAAACTATAACAAATTGGACAATGTAGTAGATTTTCGTAATTTTTTTACAGTTTTCTCGTAGTTTATCGTTATATTTTGCCCAATATATAGTTATGTATACACTTTTACAGACTCCTACCAGTTTTACCTATTTATTATATTGGGATTTTAAAAGGTCACGTGACTCTCGCGATCTATATAGTCACTTGGGGAAAATCACACAGGCCTATATAAAAGCAATTATATTTTTATTATTTTTACACGTTCAACGATTGTAATACGATAAAAGCCTTTAAAAAACATATATTTGAGGAGATGACAATACCTTAGCTATTTTTTCCTAACTCAATTAGTCTTTTGCAGCTTAAAACTTTCCTTTGAAAGTGCGAAAACGCACATTTAACCTGTATAAAGTTCTCCCGTTCTCGACTATATATAGGAAAACAAGCGGGATTTTGGTAAGGTTGAATGTGCGTTTTCGCACTTTCAAAGGAAAGTTTTAAGGTGCAAAAGACTAATTGAGTTGGGAAAAAATAGCTAAGGTATTGTCATCTCCTCATAAATATGTTATTAAAAAGCTTTTATCGTATTACAATCGTTGAACGTGTAAAAAAAATAAAAATAGAATTGCACCTATTTGCATTATGCCTCTACCACGTGACCTCAGTATATATATGAATAATGTAGAGGGAAAATAACACAGGTCTTATGGGAGGAATCTTGTTTTTATTTTTTTTCGCACTTAAAAGATATTGAGCTTAAAAAGGTTGTTAATCCCATGTTACTGACATAATGAGAGTTACGTAGTTATTTTTTTCCTTTGATGAATTCGATCATGAAGGTTGAAACAGCGTTTTGAACGTATGCCGTTTAACCCTACTTTGAGCTGTTTGTTTATCTCTGAGCATCAGCAGCAGTAGGGTTAAACGGCACTCCGTATACGTTCAAAACGCTGTTTCAACCTTCATGAACGAATTCATCAAAGGAAAAAAATAACTACGTAACTCTCATTATGTCAGTAACATGGAATTAACAACCTTGTTAAGCTCAATATCTTTTTAAGTGCGAAAAAAAATAAAAACAAGATTCCTCCCATAAGACCTGTGTTACTTTCCCTCTACATTAGTCATATATATATATACTGAGGTCACGTGGTATAGGCATAATGCCAATAAGGCCTGTGTTATTTTTGCCTCAAGTGACTATATATACTGCGAGAGTCACGTGACCTTTTAGAATCCCAATGGGTAAATCTGTCGTAAGTGGTTAAAAATGCCTTGAAGAATCTTTAAAAGAAAGGTGGTTGAAAAAATTATTTTTCATCGTAGTTGCACTTCAAATACCATCTACAACAAATAACCAAAGCAATTTTACTACAAAGTTTTTGGGTCAAAAGTTATGCGGTATTTCTTATGACTCTTATAAGACAATTTAAGTCTATTTTCGAAAAACATACCTCTGCTTCTGATGCGTGCAGCTAAGCTATTTGTAAAGATGAAGTGTTCTAATCCCAATGAAATCAAAGCTAAGATTAAACCCTATCGATTGAAGAATAATTTAGTTTCATTTTGTGCCTCCATTCAAACGTTATATCTGTTTAAGGTAGCTACTTTTTCTACTGCTCTAGTCAAGTAGGAGAGTTTCACTTGTGTATGTATACGTGTGTACGTTCATCAGTGTTGGTATACTGCTACCGTCTGTCATTTATAACCATTGAGCTGATTTTCACGTCTTTCTTGGCAAATATCTTTAGAAAATGCCCTATTATCAGCATTTTACATGACAGGATTAGGAGGATATTTTTTTACAAGTACATTAGGTGAAGGCAGGTATTTTTGAGACAGAAAATAAGATTATATATACCCGTTTTTTTTTTTTTTTTTAACCTAAAGCTAGAGTCTTATAGAATTAAAAGCGAAAAAAAGGTGTGCGAATCAGTTTTTAAAATCAAGATAAAAAATATTTTCTACATTGCGTCAGGGAGCAGTAGTGGGGCTCATTAATTTTAGCATGGACCTATTCGCTTTGAGTGTAGTACCCTCAGTACCCCCTGTGGGATACTTGTCATACAAATGATTCTTTGTAATATTTTTTTTATAATCATTTTGATTATACACATGTGTGAACAAAATAGCAATAATGCGTGGAAAAGTCATTGGGAAAATCGATATTAAAAAATTTATTAGTTTTCCCGAGGTACCTTGTGTAAAGATGACGGCCCTGCCACGATAAAGCTGACAACACTGTACTCTCTTGCTCTCATCTGCTATTATATACCTATACTTGTGTTAGACTTAAATTTTCATGCTTGTATGTTTATGAATGTACAGCGCATGCGCACTTACAGTACCTGAACAAAACAATTCTCATGTTCGATGTTTTCCTCGCTATTTTCTCAAAATTTAACGTGTTGATCCTATTCTTTTTTTT